GCAAGTGCTGTGTCAGAATAGATGGCGTCAAGTCCAAGTCTTTTAGCGTTGGCACTGATCTCTGCCAAGGCTGCGTTCTGTCTCCTCTCCTGTTTGTGTTGTGCATGGATAGTCAGGCGCAACCAAGGCGATGAGTGTATCAGTGTGGGAGATGGAGTTGTCGAGACAGAAGATTGTTGTCTGCAGAGGGCCTTCTTTTATTGGCATCTTCTGAAGCTGATCTACCGTGCTCTCTCTGGAAGGGTTCGCAGTGGAGCGCGACGTGGCCGGCATGCGTGTAAACGTATCTAAAATGAATAGTTTAATACCTTCTCGTTTTCCTACCCGTTGTTTTCTTCAGATAACTTGAGAAATAGTGGAGCTAGTAGAGAAGTTCAAGTCCCTCAGGTTTGTGTTTACTAATGGTAGAAAATTTGAGGAAGAGATCGACTGGCGAAATGGAGTAGTCGGTGGCGTTCTGCATGGACTAGCCCGAACTGTTATGTTGAAAGTAGAGCTGAGTCTGAAGTTCTCGGCGTTCAAGTCGATCTTCTTCCCCATGCTCACTGAAGGTAATGAGTCGTGGGCCATGACTAAGAACTTCGATCTTGGGTACAGGCGGCTGAAGTGGGCTTTCTGAGATTAGTCGCTGGCCTTGGACATGCAACGTGGTCCGGAATACAGACATCCTCTAGAGCCTTGGTGTGCAACCGCTGCTTCTTCCGATTAGGAAGTGAGAGCTGCGATCGTTTGTGCACGTGCTGTGAATTTTTTCAGAAAGGAAGGCAAACAATTGCTAGTTGCCTACCGGACCGGCAGAAGACCCAGGAGACGGCCGAGATTATGCTGGTGCAACTCTGTGGAAAGAGTCTGCTCTAGAACGAAGTTGTCTTCTGCCGAAGCTGAGACTGAAAGGGAACGTTGAAAGCACTATGCGCTGCATCTGCTTCACTGAGCGGAAAGGAAAAGCTGTTCTGGAAGATGAAGATGAAGAAAATATTTTATTCTGGGCCCGTTCCTGAAATTGCAGATAATCTGCTGATTCATAGTTAAGTGCAGTAGTGCTGAGGCGCCTAGTCATTCCAGTTAATATGTAGAAGGATCACGTAATTGCATTTGCGCATCCTTGATTTTCATACCGTTTAAGCGGGGAAGTTAGTTCATTCAAGAACTTTTAAAAGTTGCTTATTAATCTAAAAATGTTTATGTAAAAGTGTATGCATCATTTAAGCAGCTGTGGCAGGGTGTATCCTTCTTTGTATTTACGCATGTTGTAGCGGAAACACTCCGGAGACGCGGGGTACGGCTTTTGTGGTTTACGAGGATATATTCGATGCAAAAAATGCTTGCGATCATTTATCGGGATTCAACGTATGCAATCGTTATTTGGTTGTGCTCTACTACCAGGCGAATAAGGTAACTAGTCCGGCTGTGTTACTGGGTCCGGTTAGTTAAACTAATCTTTTTAGGCGTATAAACGGATGGATACCGAAAAGTCAAGGGATGAACTAGAAAAAGTGAAAACGAAATATGGTCTGGGTGGTGAAATCAAGAAAGACGCTTAATCGTAGACTTTAACAGTTTTTGTTGTTTATTCGTTATTGTAAAATATGTAAGAAGTAAAATTTATCAACTGTGATTTGAGCTTGAATATTTCACAAATCCTCAAATAATAATCGAAACAAGATAGAATGAGTATGTTGATAGGCCATTTAAGAAGTGACATGTGTCAACAGTTGCTGCTTGTTGCTGTGATTCATGAGGAACTTTTTGTATGGGCTCACCGAATGCCGTAAAAATGTATTGCGCAGAGCTATTGTAGTAGATTTAATCGTTTCCTTTAATTCGACGATAGTTGCCCTCCTCTAAACAGTGTGAATTTCAGGCTCATTCGATTTCAGTTTTGCTCATTTTCTGCATTCTCATTTCATACAGGCAAGCGACGTGACCAAGAGAACAAGATATCCTCAGATGACATGGTATGAGGTATCTCATCCGATAAATCATTTCGTAGCCCTTTTTTATGTGGATATGCATAGATAGCCAGGGCAAATACAAATAGTATGAACAGGAGAGCAACCCTATCTGTTTAGGTAAATGATTGTTTGCTGCAGCAGTCGATGAGAACACTGATATACCATTTAATTAGGCATGCCTTGCCTGGTAATATTCCCAATCGAAGCAACTTCTCACAGATAGTGTCCTTGCTTCGTTTACATTGCGCTAATTGTAAACAAGGATGCTCGAAGCTGTCCTTGTTGTCGACACCCAGCTTTGCGACTAATCTCCGATTCTATTTCATGCCAGCAGTCAAACCAGTGCCATTTTTTAAAACTCTGCAAGTCCATTATGTGTTAGCACTCCACATAAAATTTATTATGTACAAAGCCCAAGTCCAATATTTCGGATCTCGATCCGTTTTCAGGAAAAGACATAAACGTGATCATGTCCTTTTTTCTTTGTGTATTTTATGAGTAAGTACCATTCTGTGGAAAGGAAGCAGGAGATTACACACTATACTTACCACGTAGTTGCTGTCAACTGCCTTTAAAAAATGAAATAACTCGTGGCTGATGGAGATCAGAGCCATACAATTTGCTTCATGAACAGAAGGGCGCAGAAATGGTCTCTTCATGAAGGTGTAATAAATACCGGCTTTCCAACGGTTCCACGCTTTCTCTCTTTCCTTTTCAGATTGGCATATTACCACTACTGTTGACACTTGTCAGGTTCCTAGTGAGCGGCGACAAATTTATTGCTCTCTCGAAGATGAGTTGCGCAGAGAGCGATTCCCGTTCAGAACTTACCAGACAAATAAGAACAAAGCAATTCGCGATTCAAACAATGAACACTACAAAATGTAAATTCCGCATTGCTTGTTGGAATGCGCGTTCGTTGCTTGTCGAAGATAGGTTGAATGACGCCTGCCCGTTGCCACAAACTCGTTCTACCGACTGTCGCTGAAATTCGCATCTCGGGGAAGGTAACGCTTGACATTCGGTATGAATGATGAATTTCGTGGTCAGGCCACAGTAGATTGCGCCGTGCCGGCGTAGGTATCTTCTTGTACTGTCCTCTACAGTATGCCGGGCGGTCATTTCAGTAAAACAAGTGTCAGAGAGAATCCTGACCTGTTGCCTGAATGTCAAACAGGCGAACTCTGAATGTCATTGTCGTGATATGCCTCGACTACTTGATTGCATTCGACTGCCGCGTCACGACGTCACAACTGTCACAGTCGATATCAAGGCGAAGGTGGCTGCTGAGTAGAGTACATGGATAGATGTACTCGACCGACTCAGTACTTACAATGTCAGTCGTCTGTTAATCTTTTGTGCGACAGACGGGGTAGTTGTTGACGGGACCCGTTTTCCCCATATTCACCATATCACACTGTCGTTCCTCAGTGGAGGCCTAAGCACTGAACTGGAGCTCATCAATCGCAAAATGACGTAGCTCGTTACTCGAGACTCGCGTCAAGCGTGGCGCTTGCATTAGGTCTGATCACAATATCGCAACGGTCAGCGACGTCTGACTAACGCAGCGGATGCAACTTGACGTGGACCCCCTCCCCACAGACCACTTTAGACGTGAAGCGAACAAAAGGGAAAGCTCTAGCCTCCCGAAAAGAATAGGAAACGTCGGTCGAACAAAGGAGAAAGCACTCGCCTTCACAATGGATCAGAAACGTGGATCGAACAGAAAACAGAGCGCTCGCTCTCCGCACGTCGCAAGGCAAAGGCTTACCTCGCACCTGAAGTACAGTCCACAGGTCAACGCGGCTTAGTCGCCAAGGATGAACAAAGAATCCTCAGGCGCATTAAAGAACCACTCGGCGTTGGAACGGGCAGAATATTATGTAGATATGAAGACTAGGATCTCTCGTGCAGGCATTTGTTGCCATTTGTACGTACGCTGTGCTCGCAAGTAAAGCTTTGTTACCAGGCTCCGTGTCCTGCTTGCTAACAACCCTCAGCCAGTTGCAGTATAGTCGTATCGGAACTTTGTTTAAAATTATGTGCCGCATCGACCTCGTTTGGCTGAAAGTTGAAACTCCAGCGGTTGGATGTTGACAGGCGAAAATATGAAGAGGTGGCGCGGTCGGCTTAGGAAATTAGGGTAGGGAGTTATTTTAGGTTCCCTATTAACTGTGGAGTTCATCAGGGAGATATGCTTTCGCCTTTGCTGTTCAAGATTATTCTTGATTTTCTTCTCCGAATGAGGGCTAACCCTAGCGAAGACGGAAGTGTCATTCTAGAGGGTGGGTGCTTATGAAGCCATTCGGTTAGATATCTTGCTGACCGGGAGTACGCCGATGATATTTTCCTGATGAATAGTGCGGAATGCGGGCTCTGTCACCTGACAGCTTCCGTATGCAGAATAGCTGCGAAACTGGTCTCTTCCTCAATGCCTGAGTCAAAAATTATGAAGAACTCATTCAGCACAGCTGACTACCTGTGGAACAGGGAGGTAAAGCGCTTGGTGATGGATCAGTTTAATTGTCTCGCCTCCACGTGCTGCAATTACACTCAAATATTTGCCTATGTCTTGACTCGGTCAGGTCAGTGTTGCTGTATGTTCAACCGTTGTTCAAATGAAGATGCAAGAACGAGAGATGAACTGCGTACAACAGCGTTGGCCTCAACGCGTAATATGGGTTAGACGGCAGGACCATGAATGACTCTATTCTCTTCTGAGCACATGTCACATCGGTAAGTGTAGAGATTAAGAAAAGGAGGTTTTCCTTGTTGGAGAAACGGGTTGAGCAAACACCATTTACTCAAGCCATTAAGTTTTTCGTGGGAGCGGAAACACTGCTGACGTAGATCAGGCATACAAGATGGAGGAACAAGGTAGAGGCATATCTGCTTTTGGAGAGGAATATTTCCTTCTGCAATGCACCAACTAGTGCCTCATAACAAAAGTGTTGAAAAGTCACGGATACAGCGGGTATCTCAAATTAGAGATGTCCCGCTGATGCAAACGGCTCAAGGTGATGATTTCGAAAAACGACAAGTTATCAACAATTACTATTCACTCAATACTGGCTGATAACAAATTACTTCATTTGCGGATTTGTTTTAAGTCGGAGAATAAGAAGAGAGAATAAAGCGAAAAGCTTCTTGCCGCTATGCAATTCACATCGCATCGCATCGATCGCTTGATTTCAATTCATATAAACGCTGTGTTGTCAAACGACGACGCTGTATGGTCCTTCATTTTACGGGTGGTTGTTCTCCTCGACTTCACTCTTTTCCCTGAAAATAAAACATGTCAGGGTGAATTACTTGCTGTATAAAATTTGCCGGAGATTTTGCACATTGTCAGATGTTCAAGCCCTAAGTTGATGCTTTGGATATAATGGCCTCGTTGTGGCGATCAGAATGCGCCAACCAGTTTGTCGTAAACTTACCAGTCAACTTTTGGATCATTTTAGGGACTCAATGGCGCGACTGCTTTTTCCTCTGCTCTATCGTGAGTTTCAGTTTTTGGAAAGGCATTACAATTTTCGACAACGTAAAAACGATCATCTGCGCTGTCGGGCGGTGGGCTTGGCTGAGCAAAAAGCGCGTCAGCGCCGTAAGATTGATGCAGCGGGTGAAAAGTTTTGCCTTGACGGCTCGTTGAAGCGCGTACGAAAAGCTTCGACAGCAGAAAGCACCAAGGTGTCGAAGCGGATCTGCAGTACTTTTTGAGACTCACCTGTCGCTCGCTTAGGCACATGTCATTTCCATGCCTTACTTAAAGGTAGATTTGCATAAAATCTGCTTCTAGATATAAGTAACAGGTGGCGTTTCGTTTGGAGGCGTCGTTGAAACCTGAATTGGTGATAAATTCAGAAGGCAACTGCTACTCATTATCCATGAAACAATTCATTAATAGATATGCGGTAAGGATGTCATGCAACTCTCCCAACAAACATGGTGGTTTCCTGTGTAAAAAGAGCATTTTTACAGAAACAAGAGACAACTGAAATTGTACAACTCATGTAATGCCTTATATCTTAGCGATGGCAACATGGAAGAGGCTGGCAGAAATGTTCAAAATTCGATATGGAGATATATTCGTTGAATTGACAGGAGTGTTGAAGAGGACTTAGTCACAATAGAACACAGTATGCTTTACAGTGACGTCATAAAGTGGAAATCTGTTATAATAAGTAATTAACTAGTAGGAAAATTTGGAAGCTACCACGTCAGAGCGAACGAACATCGTGGTAAACAAGCAGGAAGAAACCTTCGTGATTAATCAGCATGGTCGTGCTCGTTGCGCATTAATATTACACGTCATCTCCTTCGTAGATCTTCGTTCGCTTTGGTACACATTCATAATTTTTACTTCCGTTAACTTCAACACCATTGTACTTCTATCCAGCCAAATCCGGTAAGTTAAGGGACGTCAAGGGGAATCGCATCAAGTTTCACCAAGCCTATGGATGACCCGTCAACTTGAGACATTAGATCGTTGCGAATACTTCTTGAAACTGTACTAAACTCCCTAACAATAAGAAAAATATTTTAAAAACAAAATGAGAAAAATATAACAAAGTTTTATAACCCTTAAC